GGAACATGCATTTACCTGATGTGGAGGATGAATTGGATGAATACAACTTCACGGGCTTGGAGTATTTACAGCGGATTTGTAACTTCTCTAAGGGGCAGTTGGATGCGTTGCAAGCTAAATTCAATCAGGTCCGGGCTAACCCCAAGGTTAAGAAGTTTATTAAAGGTAGGGAAGTGCATATTATGTTGAAACCGGATGCCATGCCGGTACGTCGGGTGTATAAAACATCGCTGTCAAGGCAGCGGTTACCAATCGAAAAATTGCTGTATTGGAGGAGATTGGTTGTTTCGAACCAGGGGATATATTTTCTCCTTGGATGGCGTCACTGTATTGGTCCGGAAGAACCCGAGGGTGGTGCCAACGGATGATAGACATTTTCGGGTTTGTGTGGACTGGGGTCCGCATAATGAGGAATTCCATAATCTGTCGGTTACGCTGCCTAAAGAACAATATATACTGGACCATGCGAGGGGTGCCATTGTTAAGACTGTCTTTGATTTGGCTCCAGCTTATCACCAGCTGCGTCTGGCGGAGGACTCCAGGGATTACCTCACGTTTTATACGGCGGATGGTCGTTACTTACGTCCGGTATATCTTATGGAGGGGGTTCAGAGTGGCTGCTATGATATGCAGGACCTTACTGAATCTCTGTTTCAACCGGTGGATACGTTAATGCCTTATATGGATGATCTCATTACGGCACAACGTATGATTGAGAATCTTACGTACATTCAGTCTGTGTGTAACCATTGGAGGGAAATGGATAAGTCTTTGGATATATGTATTAAGAAGGATGTATGTCTCCAGCCTAAGAAGAGTCAAATTGCTATCTTGATAGAGATGTTCTTGAACATGGATCGATGATTGATGATGGTCGTTTGGCTGCGTTTCTACAAGCACCGGCACCGGTTAGTAAACCGGAGGTAGCATCGTTGTTGGCTATGTTGGCTTGGTGGTCTGGCATGATACCGAAATATTTGGTGATCATGGAACCTATTATCAGACTCACCCGCAAGAATGAAATCTTTAAGTAGGGTACGGAGCAGATGGTGGCTATGGACACTGCATACTATTATCTTAAGATGCGTATTAAGCTTTATACCCCTGAGCCACACCAACTATTAGTTCTGTGTACAGATGCCTGTAAGTTGGCATGTGGAGCTTGTCTTTTTGTACAGATACCGGGTGGAATAGTCCGACATGTGGTGGATGAATTGTCGGTGACTGAAGTACAGATGCTGGGTCTGCGGGATAAACAAGTTGAGAAGCTTAATGAACCCAATGTTATCATGGGTGTTCGGGACATGCAGTTACAATATTCGGCGGACCCGATTACACCCCAGGATGCGGTTGATGATGGCACACCATCCATGCGCTATATGGATGCCCCACTACCGCAGGTTGGTGAGGTGTCGCGTATTGAGGAGATCATTGCAGTTAAGCGATGGGATGGGTCTCAAAGGTATGCGACAGTTAAACAGGTGGTTCTGGATGTGGGTATAACGGTCCATGACCATAGTAATCTGTTTCCGGTACACCTTATGTCCACTACCTTTAATTCGGCTCAGCGAAATTATGGCACGACGGGTCGTGAATTTGTGGGTTGTGTGTTTGCAACCAAGAAATGTTTGTTCACACTACATAGGGCGCAGAAGCCGGTGATGTTATACATGGATCATCTTCCGTTGTTAAGAGTGGTGGAACACCCCTGGAAAAATACGGAGGAGGACACCATTCAGGCGCGCCGTTGGTTACGAGCCGTGAATGTTCTTCAGGAAGTAGAATTTGATATGCGGTATGTGCCGGGTAAGTTAAATCACTTTGGCGATTACTTGTCGAGGTGTGCTAACAAACTGGATCCACTTATGGACCCATTGGACCGACGAGTCCAGTGGCAAGATCCGTTGGAGTCCCCCCAGGTGTAGTTCATTGGAGCCCTTACATATGCGTTGTCTCGGGATAACTCGAATTGTCAATTAAACCTCTAAGTGGGTAATACATATTCAGGTGATTCGCAGGTTGGTATTTGATGTTAAGTTGTTTGCCTCGTTAGCCAACCACGTGTTGGATATGTACTGTAGCTTGAAGGAAGGCGATGGGACCCTGGGTTGTGAGGCATTTGCTTTAATTCTGTGTGGTCTTATCGCGTTTGCTAATCCTCCTTGGGTGCTCATTGAGCGTTTTTTTCGTCATGTGGCAGCAATTGACGGTTCTGCAGTAATGATGTGTGTGCCATTTTGGCCCAATGCCTCTTGGATGCGGGAATTGATTCCTCTGTTACAGGCTCGGCCGTTTGTAGTTCCCCATGCGCATGATACGTTCTTGTTGGATGGCAAACATGCGGTGGGGGTTCCCCCGTGGAAATATACGCTGTTGGTGTTCATCAAAGGAGCGTGCATCACAGGCCGAGCTTGAAGCTGTGGTTCATGAACGGATGGTGGTTTATGAGACTGTTCCGGTTGCTGACAATGGGCCGGATAAGGTCTGAAAATGGCAGTCGGGTAAGCGTAGCCCGAGCCCGGAACACAAGGAGTGGCGGTGGAAATCGTTGAAGCGCAGCCCGTTATTTAGTGCTGATGAAGAGGATGAGGTCAGGGATGACCTTACTGCAGCCCTTTCGCCTGTTGTGGACAGGGAGGACCCGCTGTTTGTGCGTATGGATGTTGATGTTGTTTCTGACTGTTTGGATGATGGGAGTGATATCCCACCACCTAGTAGTAAGCCTCTATCGGATAATTTTGAAGTCGAGGTGCTTCAGCGTCCGTTTGTTGATGATGACCAGTGTGAACAGGTATTTACGGATACGGCGACGTTGGATGCGCTTGAAGTGTATACTGAGGATGTGGTAAGGGGTTTTGATGATTTGTATGTGGAGCAACCTGACTTCAGGAAGTCCCGCTGGGTACTGGGAATCTGGTTTACCGGGCTGGTCTTGAGTTGGAAGCACAGGTGGTTACACCGGATGTCGCTGAATCGACTCAGATCAAGGACCCTGAGCCGATTGCTCAGGTACGGTATATCATTAGTCACCATACTTCAACGGCCAATACGTTGTCTATGCGCAAGCCTGGGAATCATACTCGCGATGTACTGCCGTGGAGTATGTTTATACTCGCCTTTCGCGGTTGAAGCTTCGTTCAGCTGGGCGGTCGGTATTGTCACCCACGGTACTCACGGTCATCTGGAAGTACCACATGGCATATAGCCATTTATTGGCTGATCGTTTGCGTCCTTTGTTGCAGAATAAATGTGGGTGGAATATTTCCCGGTATTTTTTAGCTCTGATTATCCGTACGTGTGAACGATGTATCCGTGTGGGTGTGCCATATGGGCGGAAGCGGGGTTTGCTTCAACAGCCGGACCGGGCGACGCGTATCGGCCAGGAGATGAATCTGGACGATCTGGTGGCGACTGAGGATGTGGATGGGTATAAATATGTATTGGCGGCCCAGGATGGATTTTCCCTTCGGGCATTTTCGACGTGTGTCAGGGCCGATGAACATACAGCGGATACCCTCATTCGTTTCTGTGAGGAGCAGCTCCGTCCGCATGCGGCTGTGGGCCTCTATGCCATGGATAAGGATAGTGCGTTTCGTAGTGAGGCATTTGCGGCTTATGCGGCCAGTACTGGGTCGGATGTTCGTTATGTTTCTACGGGGGAGCATGCAGGGAATGGCCGCATTGAGGTTATCCTTAAGACTGCCCAGAATTGGATCAAGCGTGCGTTGAGTGTTGGTATGCACCATGCGTGGCGGACTGAAATTCCGGCTTTCACAGTCAATTACAATGCTACTCATTCTCAGGTTATTGGTATGGCTCCGTATACGTTGGATACGGGCCGGATCTATACTCACCCCATTGATCGTGAAATTGAGACACTTTTAGATGAGGACATTGGTTTTACTGAACCCATGGTCAGCATTGGGGATGGGGTGACTGAGCTGAAGAAGGTGGCTAGTACTAACATCCATCGGGCCCGAGTGGCACAGAAGCGTTCGGCGGACCTTAATTGGGTAAATTGCCCGATGATCGGCATTGGTCGCCAGGTGCTTTATCACCCCATGGCTACGCCGGTCAATAAGTTACAGAAGGGTTGGTTGGGCCCGGCGGTTGTTACGGCTTTGTTGCCCCCTGTGTTTCAATATATTAAGGATGTGGCTTTAAATAAGGAGTACAGGGTGCATATTAAGAATTTAAAGGCTTATGTACCCCCCCTTGGTTTGGATGAAAAGTTAACGAGGGGTAGTGTTACTGCGTCAGTGTTTGGTTATTATTTCTTCTATGATTCGCCGGCCCAGAACATTACGTCCAGGGCTCGGCAGGATTTGGTGCATGCGTTTCGTGTTTTCCCTGCAGCAATACATTTCCAATATAGTATGAATAGCAACCTACGGCGTTGGATTCGCCTCACTGATAAGTACAAATATGTGCGCAGTGATCAGTGGAGGGATGAGGATACTGAGTTTTTGTTGTCGCATGCTAATGAGGTCACTAATGTTCTTGGTTTGGATGAAAAGTTAACGAGGGGTAGTGTTACTGCGTCAGTGTTTGGTTATTATTTCTTCTATGATTCGCCGGCCCAGAACATTACGTCCAGGGCTCGGCAGGATTTGGTGCATGCGTTTCGTGTTTTCCCTGCAGCAATACATTTCCAATATAGTATGAATAGCAACCTACGGCGTTGGATTCGCCTCACTGATAAGTACAAATATGTGCGCTGTGATCAGTGGAGGGATGAGGATACTGAGTTTTTGTTGTCACATGCTAATGAGGTCACTAATGTTTCAGGGATGCGCACTACACTCAATCGGTTGTATCGTTTTGTCAAGGATCCTGTACTCAGACAGGACCTTATGGAGGCTTGGCGATCTAAATATGAGGTTACACAGCTTACACCTCACTCGGTGGGTGCGGATGATGCTGAGTTGGGACGGATGATGGATCGCGATTGAGTTGTTTTTGGGCACTTGCTTTGGGAGTCGATGGTCTTGGGTTATTAGTCAGACGACCCGATATCGCATGACTTGTCGGGGCTGTAGTACCGACCATGACTCATTGGCCCTGCCCTGTTGGACAGGGACTGGACCGAAGAGGACCTGGCCTGCCGGCCATGGGGGACATGTGGAAACGGAGGAGGGACTCAGAGGAATTAGGATAAGGAACTCTAGTCTAGTGAACGTGGCGTCCTTTCACTCTATACCCTTTACAAAGTAAGGATCTTGAGACAGTCACTTAATGACCAGTAATAAAGTTGCTAGTGCTTCCTAGTTAGCCTAGCGCATACTACAACTTTATAATCTCTGAACTACTACTTACAGGTTTTGGTCTTCCCGCCGATCTCCAAAATCCAATAAGTCTTTCTCTTTTTTAAACTTTTCTTCGGATGGACCTTTATTTATATAAGCTAATGTATTAAATTGACTTACGTTCTTATGTCTATCTACAAATTAAACATGTGGTCATGAACACTTAATACCTCAAGTGAAAAAAATCAATAAAGAACAGCTAGAGGTACGTCCTGTGTGATCGAGGATATTAAGGCTCTTACCAAGAGGCGGTCCCGATCATTCTTACACAAGCTACCACTGCTAAATCCTAACAGACTTAAATTGTATCGTAGTTTAGATAGTATAGTTTAAAACATAGAAATATCCATCGAAGTTTACACCACGGGTAAGGCCCGTGGGTAAGCAATCCCTCGAGCAATCACCACAGGAGGAGACAATCGTGTCAAGAATATTCGTGAGAGTATTTCACCCACATTAATTTTGGGCTAAGGCCCTGAGGCGTAGGGGAAGCAAATGGGTGAACCTAACATGCCATATTCAAATAAAACGTAGTACCATTTCCGAGCCTACAGGCTGGTCCATACATTGGAGGTGTATGGCATCTAGTGCGAACAAAACCGCCGGTTTCATAGCGATCAACCGCTTGGTACGGCTTCCTGACTTGCTCTTTCAGCGGTTATGCAAGCCCGCATCTGTGGACGGGTCCCCAGAGACCATATAATCGAAATCGATTGGGGGTGCAGTGGCTGCTCGCTACGCCCGTTTCTGTACATCCAGTGCATCTTCTTCCCGGAGGACGAAAAGGATATCCGCGGATGTATAAGGCGTATCTTGGACAGTCAGCAGCTTTTGTGAATGTGCATCCTGGTCTGCCTCTACAGCCGCCAGAATCCTGGCCGCAGTCCCCAACGGAACCTCTTGAAAAAGTAAGAGACTGGCTGTAGGAGTTATACGCCTCACCTAACCTGGTAAGATCTCCAGTATAGGCTGTCACTGCTGCATCCAACTGGCGTTCCAGTTCCGACATGTCTGGCTGTTGGCGGGCAGTAAGCGCAGGCATGGGTACACTGGAGTCTGTAGCTATACGGCGTGCGGACATTTCCTCCTCTGTGACCTCCTGGGCCTGCATCCAGCTTACCGGAAATGCTGTGCGTGGCAGTTCCAACGAAATAGCTTCATCAAAGACCTCTTCGATACCATCTAGTGCCGTGGGAGGGTCCACCGCTTTGGGTACACGAGGGTCCACTGTTGGTATACCCTCAAGTAGCGGAGTAGACGGTGTAGACACTCGAGGGAACTTCTCCCCCTGGTATCCGCTGAGACTTGGGACTGGGCCGGTGTAAGGGGTCCCTCCTCAAACACCTCTCTCATTGCCACGCGCTCATGCAAGCTATTCGCCCAGTCAGTCGCAGTAATAAGATCTTCTTGTGTTTCATGGGCAGCGGTGGTACCACTGGGGCTGTCCGTATCGTAGCCGTGAGGCAGGACATCGGCTGGCAGCCGATGGCATGGAGGCACCGTGGGGGGCGTGATAAGCCAGCCGGGACCAGAACGCCTGCGGTACACGAAAGAAAGGTTGGGTCCCTTTTACATGAGACACTAATATCGTGTGCTGCCAATTTGGAAGGCCCTCAGAGCGCCAATCACGATGGAGAAAGGTATTTGCAGTGTGTGGTATAACAATAGGGGTGCTCTAGATTAGAAAAAATATCATAGGAAACCATGGGGTATTGGACCAGAACGGCACACAGATTACTATTGACATGTTTGGGACACTCAGGACCCGTGTGCGAAGGAACGGGTCGATATCCCGCCAGGACGAGTTCATGTAACAATGCTTGAATTGGATGCCCACATGATATGCGTCCTTGCCGTATGCTCCTGTACCATCCTTTGTACAACAGATGACAAGTACATGGTCCTCATGACTCGCAAAGAACTCAATGTCGTAGGGGCCCCATAATTGTTGAGATAAGTCCACCCAACTGAAGTTGAGTGCCAAACTGTCGATGTCCGAGGTGTCGAACGGTATAATCCAGTCCATGAACTGGGCAGCCGGCATCTCTGTGTACGACGATTGGGTGTATCTGTGGTCGTCGCAAAGACCACTGTCACTCTCTGTATCTGAGGTGGTTCCTATGTGGGGAAGGCAACAAGGGAGTTCGCAACCTCTAACAGTTTGTCGGTGGTGTCACGACACCGGGACAGGGAGTCCCCGAAAACTGTGAGTGGCCCCGGGACATAGTACATATCAATTCTGATGTCGTTTGTGTCTTCAATACGCCGCATCCATCGCTGGTGTTTGACAAAGCGAGATTGCAGGTAGGGCGCTGGGTTCATGACAATATTCTTCAGCGATTTGTGGTCAGATAGGACCAACGTGTCCCGGAAGGAAGAATCAGAAAGACGATCTTCCTTACAGCAAGGCGGATCGCTAGCATTTCTCGGTCGTATTTCAGCTGGGCGTCATTCAACTTACTAGAGATAAATATGATAGGGTATAGATGAGAGAATTGGCCAATAGTAACACCTGTATCCCTAGTGGGTGTGGTAGACGCGTCATGTTTGGGGCGCGTAATTGCTGGTCCGCAATAAATTTATCTCTAATTACATACACGGTATCGTCGTCCTCGTTAGGGGAAGTGGATGGTGTGCGTGAAGCCATTACCCGATCGTTAGTCGGTAAGGGTTCAGGGTTGTATGTCTCAGAGGTCAGAACTTGTGCCGAACCCCGCTGTGTCTTAGTAGGGACTACAGGCTGGGCCGAACCCCGCTGTGTCTTAGTAGGGACTACAGGCTGGTCGGTTGACAATTGGGCGTCGTCCGACTGACGATCAGATAGGAGCACCATATGCTGTGGTCCTGTTGAAGCATCAGCCGCAGGCACTGGCTCGGCTAGTCAAAACAGATTCGATGATATTGTCTTGATATTGTATCACTTGTGCCTGTGTGCGCACCGGTTTCGCCGATTAGGCAGCACATATAACGGTTTTTTGGGCGGTTTGGGGAACATTGAAATATCACTGGGTAGCGGTTCCAGGGTGTCATCGATTTCTGTGATGCGTTCGGTATGTGAGAGTTGTTCGTTCGTTTCTCCTTCCAGAAGGCCCAAGCGTAGTACCTGAGGATGTATGTCTACAGGTGGGAGTCCAAGTCCCTTCTTATAGTCATTACATTCGGCTATGCACTCTTGTTCCTCATCCCATTCTGGGGCACCTGAAGGTGGAATTTGGGCAAAGACACCCGCCCCCACCTCTCTGTTGCTCACATCAGGTGTGACCACAATACGCTGGTGGGGAAGTGGTTGATACAGGCGTATGCGTGTACCTATAACAAGGAGGAGGTATGAGCATACAACTTGGTGTGCTGTCTCCCATCGGAAGATAGCACCCTTTCGGACAAGATCCGATAGAACCGCGGCCCTGTCCGCAAACCCCGGAACATATATTGACCAAATGAAAGGACCGCAAGAAGGGAACCCAATTCCTGCCTGTTGGATGGCCGTGGCCGGCAAACAGGGCCTGTGAGGTGTTGTTGATTTCCTCTCGACCAAAGAACACCATTGCAACATCGAAAAGGATGCCAAATTGGCACTTTAGAGGCGGTAGCCGGATATCTTTTGCGATACAGATACGAACAAACCTGAATAGATCGTTCCAATGTTCATTGAGGACCGATAGGATCGTCTGGCGGTGTCGTCGTTTGTGGGTCATATTCCCATCATCCAGGTAAGCCTTAAAAGCTTTGATGATTTGCGAATGTGGTGTCCATATAATGTTGCATATTGTAACATCCATTTTCTACTCCCTCCTGTAAACAACGTGGTTGATGAAATTGCCCATCCGCTGTCGTGTATGTGAGTTATTTACGTGAGTCGGGATGTAGTAACAGCTGGTGATATGAGGCAGCGAGATCACAAGCGGATTGCACCACCGCATTGCGGGAGTGTTCCGCCATGCCCCTCTCAAATGGGAGTACATAGGGTAGGCGGTACAAGACTTTGTTTATGCGTATGTAGTTAATGGTAATTATGTACCCAGAAGCATCCGTGGGTTGCTTACGTGGGTTCTTCCAAACTGTTCGGACAGAGCTCACCCACTGGCTGTACTTGTCACCAGTTTCCGCTTTGCCCGCTACATAGAATTCCGTAACCTTCTCCGTTTCTACTGCTTTAAGGACGGGATCCTTCGTGCGATAGATCTGTCGTGACGGCTGAGCACCCTGTTTGTGTTTTATCTTAACATCAACATCATTAATATATTTCTGATTGTTCTTATCGAAGGCTACTTCACTATACAGGCTGCATAGTAGTGCAAGTTCCTCCGGCGACTTATTGAGGATCTTGCGAAGTCGAAGTGCCGAAAATCGTACTCCGGTGGTTTCTCCGGTATCTGTGGACCGAAACCCCGTGGTATATCTATGTTTTTAGGAACCCCAGCGGGTAGCTGGTTCGAGGCAACTACAGTTGGAACAATGGTGGCTGATGGGTGCGGTCCCATGTGGTGCCTATAAGATTGGCTTGCATATGGTCAAAGCCGAAAAGTACAACACAATCATTGGGTTTGCAATTCACTAAGTAGAACTCGACTGTAGCCGTTTCAAAGAACGTCGCAGAGCCATTGCCTGCGAGTACATGCAGCAGAAGAGTAGTGTGGACCTGTTCTGAGGGGCGCCGTGCCATCACTGCCAAAGCCTTCCATATATACCGCTGGAACAGTGACAATTGAAAAATTAAGCTGTTGCGCAAATGTACGGGTGATCATAGCTGGTCGAGACCCTGTGTCGACATAAACATTGACATCCTCGTCCTCACAGTATGCCGCTATCACTGGTCCCAACTACACCTCTGATCACATCTCGAGGGGTATATCCACGCCAAGAACTGGTGTGCCGCGCGTGGCCGCTGCCGTAACCGTTGCTGCAGCTGCAACACACTGTGCTTGGGTATTTGCTTGAGTAGTGCCCAACCTGTTTACATGTATGGCATAAGGGACACATGGGGTCCCGGTGGCGCAAATGGCATTTAGTACATGTTGCTACCGCTGGCCGATCACGAGAGAGCGACCTGGAGCTGCCATTAGCCTGGTGACGGTTGTCATGGCCCCCCGCCTGGTGCCGTTTGTCATGCCCACCGTTGGTAAGAGACTGGCGTCTACCATTCCCATGCTTATACTGCCGTTACTCACGGTAGTCCTTATCTCGGGAATGATGTGGTCGGAATACACCCAGACGGGGTTATTAGTGTTCAACCAGACAGGGTTATTAGTGTTATTTTAGTTTGGGTTATTTTAGTTTATAATATTAGAATCTGTAAACTTAGTTTGTACCGATCAGGGTTTTAGATCGGCACATGTCGCAGAAATAATTAGATTCTGAATTTAAGGTTTAATGAATAAAAGAACAACGTCTCCCTCTGAACTGAGGGAGAACGTTGAGATACTGATATTCCACGTTTAACTACAATGACTCCGGGTCCTGTATTGAAGATTAGAAAAAACCTGGTGACATACTGCGGCCCCGGTCCACTGCAGAAGACGTGGAGTGTTCCGGGCCTACCGCCGACAAGATACGAGCCGCATACGCCGTGGTATGGGTAGGCCCATAAAGGTCCAGCGTGTGTAATAAACCTTCCATTAAGATACCAGAGTAGGCTGTAGAAATAAAAGCTCGCATAGCAATCCGGAGTTCGTATAGTCTGTTCCAGAGCTTTGGTAGACCTTTGTTCCACACCGATATTAGTGGTTCACGGAGCTCTACTATTGTGGCTGTGTGAGGGTATAAGGCTTGATGCTCCAAACACCCCTGCTTTTCAGCATCGCTTGAGATATCTGAGACAATATACTTCCAAGCAACCCACACTAGTTCTTGCGAGTTTTGGGGTGCACCACGTAACCAAGGTGGTTGTTGGTGTGCGAACAACCGTGCCTGACCAACATGTTGGTCAAATGTGGGAAAGACTTGCCCATTGACGATTGGCAGTCTGGATATAGGAAACCAGCAGTGGCGTAGATGTCGATATACGTACTTGTGTCTATCTGCGGATCACGGCCTCCAGCGGCCTGTCGCTGAGAAGACAAAATCATCGTTGAACACTGCAACATCCTCATTAAGTTGGAAAACGTCGCGAGGAGAGTTGCCACCCAATACTAGGTACATTAACTAATGGGCCCCCCAGAGGCACAATGATTGAAGACTCGATGGCTTCTAGTAGACATTCATCGATTAGGTTGAGGTCCGGGTATGGTAAGAGCATGTGCGGTGTTGCTTCATCCATCCGACGATGCTGGAGGTCGGTACCATAGGCTAACCAATAGTCAGCCAACATTTGAGGGCCAGCATCTTGTTTTGGTTTTAACATCGATTGTTGGAATGTTGACTCCTGACCGATGACCGGTTGTGCTGTCTGAGTAGTGGGCCCCGGTCGATTGCTGTTGGTCGAACATCCTCTCTATGATAGGCGGGCTAGCCACAACATCCCATCGGCGGGGCCTCTTAAAAGCAGGGTCCGTTCGATCAGTTGTTGTGGCCCCACGTTTACTCACACTCGCTTGCTGGCGATCGTCCGGAAGTACAATATTCGGAGCACGCATCACAGTAAGCCGCGGGTCAACCACTACCTGAGGTAAGACCGGTGCCTCTTCCAGCTGGAAAGACTCGCTCACCGTCTTACCATCGGCCGCTTGGGCTAACATCCCACCCCCACGATCACGACGTACTGGGGTAGGAATACTCTTGGGTGACAACTGTTCATCCAGTTGGTATAGGGCAGAAATAACTCCATACTTAGCAGGGTCAGACAAAAAAATATTAGCTTAAAACGAGCATCAGTCGAGGAGAACGTGTTTAGTTTACGTGCCTCCTCGAGGAGCTCCGTGTGATGTTCAAGCTTCGCAGCACTCCCATAGTGTGCAATCAACCAGCGTTCCACATCAGCGACTGTTGCCCCTGTGCCAAGTGCTGCCATCAGCTTGATCTGTATGAGTTAGTCTAGGAACTGTAGGAAATGAGCAACTTTCGCCGCTTCGGAGGGCAATCGCGTAAATTCCTTTTGAAACTTCTCCATCTCCAATTCACGAAGGAAGGGCAGAATGGGTCGGTTGCGGCGGCCATAATACATGGATGGCGCTCGACGAACATTGCGGGGCATTGTGCCGCCAGTGGGTGGTTGATACAAGGCCATGCCTGCTGCTAGGACTAAGAAGTTGAAGTTAGGGGACGTTAGAAATTTGTCTGTATTCAGAGCCCGCAACCGGTCTGCTAAAAGATGACTATATCCACAATGATATTTCCATACCACTTGTAAAACCGTCTGCGGTGAAACTGATTGGCCCGCCGAAGTAAGCCGCAAGCGTTCAGTTTATAATAAAACAGTATTCAAATCCGCAATACGCGGGACAGAATCATTACTAACCTGTTCAACTAGCAACTTATCCTGCCTATGCGCAGACAAAGGGCTATCCGTCGAGGGATGATAATTAATTACATATTCGATGGGCGAAAACGTACGAGCCGGACGCGTCTCAGTGCGGGGCGCAACATCCGGTGGATCCATCATTGTCTCTGATTCCAAACTAGCCCGATACCCCAGCTCCCCCGTACCCAATGGTACTTCTTGAAACTCGACACATGAAGAAATGGCCAACAAATCGACACAACCCTGCTTTAAATCATATGCATATTGTTCAAGGCTAGAGAGTGCTTGGGCATCAAACTCTAGTTACTCAACAGGTTTGACCACAATACTAGCCTCCTCTGGTTCCAACCTGGTAGGCGTGATTCTCATAACATCAATTTCTATTTCACGATCACTCATAAGATCCTCAAAAGATAACACACGATCCCCACTAATAGAAACAACGGCTTCACGATCCCGCATGTCCTGCTCGAATGCACTGAAACCAGGCGAAAGAACAGGCGATGGTTCAGCACGATATATATATATCAAAATCCAGTACCTGTGTATCATCAAGAAATATTACCTTAATCGGCGAGGGCGATCGTTTGGCAGAGGAACATTTCCAGGAACGATCCGAAGATACAACCCGCGAGCCATCAGCAATGATGTCCTGACCTAAAGGGTCAACATCATCAGAATCCGAAACCCGAGCATTGTACACCACATCCTCCAGGACCCGTTCCGCATCACTGGGCGACATTATTGCTGCCTGACTACTAGACACTGCCACGGTCGCAAAGCACGATACCGTACGATAGTCCGGGAGGCACATATTCGCATGCGGACCCCCACGACCGACCTCCGACCAAAAAGATTGAGGGATCACATAGCAAAAAAATTGCTGACCTCCCTTGGTATGGACTAAGAGCGTATGTGACCAAGGAGGGTAACCCATTGCCGTATCCTCGTTAAACAAGGAAGTATCGAAAGCATGTGGGACCACAAATGGGCGCGCTTGAAGCAAAGGCACCAACTCCGGCATACATTGTGTGTCTGGCCACAACGGAACACATAACACGACCGATGCAACTTGGGTATTCGCAACATGTCGAATAAGCTCAAGTAAAAACGGACCCAAGGTGGGTTGGTATAAGCAATTAATCCCGCCAACACTGCTGCATACGCATCACACCCATAGGTACCACCACCAACTTCATCACTAGCTTACACATCCAAAATATGGTTTGCTTGGTTAGCAAAGAATTCAATACCAAAAATGACATAAAAAGGCACCTGCGCATACCAGGCCCAACTGAGGTCCAACTGCCAATTCCCCGTGCCCAGCTGGCAAAGCAAACATACCGCAGCCAGAATATACACCCCCAACTGTTCATGAGGGTCAGACCATGTGATACGCTTCTCAGCTGGAAGCTTTAGCGGATCCATTCGATCAGCACACCGGGCGAGATAATCACCAAAAAAAAAACTATTTGGTCCTGGGCAGTAGCGGAAATCGTACTTCACTCCATACAAACTTTGAATAGACCTCATTCATTGGCGAGCTTGGATCGTATCCTGCTCCGTATACTTAGAAGGGTTTGCAACCACACTTAAAAGAGGTCATAGTCCGTATAGAGCACAACTGGGGATTGTGCCCGTTGTAACGCAAATAAAACTTTCTTTGTAGCGTAAACACACCCAACAAATTCGCGACCAGTAACCCCATAATTTCGTTGGGCTGCATTAAATGTACTAGACATTAGTAATTTACCCAACTTCACGATCGTCTATTTTTTTTACATCGTGTCACAGTATACGTTGTTACAATCCTTTTGTTGAAGAACTCACTCTAATCGCCTCATTTAAAAGTAGCACTTGTAGCGCAACACCACGTTTTATATTTCGATATTGTGATGTGAGTTTGCAAAATGAACACTGTCCCAACTTTTCGAAAAATAAATAAAAAAATAATTTTATTATGGGTCTATACCTCGTCCATATCGCCTCCGTACAACCTATACCACTCTTCAGATGCTTGCCGTCGTACATTCCTTTGCAAATCCTACAAATAGTACAGGGTTTAGGGTTTAGGATTTTCATGTGTGCATGCTCTCTCTATGTATACGTGCTCTCTCTATATGTGCGTGCTCTGTCTATGTGTGCCTTCTCTGTCTATGGGTGTGTGCTCTGTCTATGGGTGTGTGCTCTCTCTCTATGTGCGTTCTCTGTCTATGTTTGTGTGCTCTCTCTATCTTCGTGTACTCTGTCTATGTATGCGTGATCTCCCTATACGTGTGTGTTCTGTCTATGTGTGCGTGTTCTGTCTACGTGTGTGCGTTCTGTCTATGTGTGCTTCTGTCTATGTGTGCGTACTCTATATATGTGTACGTGCTCTGTATATGTTTGTTGGCTCTCTCCGTGTCCGTGTGCTCTGTCGATGTGTGCGTGCTCTGTCTATGTGTGCATACTCTATGTGTGGGTGCTCTGCCTATGTGTGCGTACTCTGTCTATACGCGTGTGCTCTGTCTATGTCTGCGTGCTCTGTCTATGTTTTGTTTGTGTGCTCCTTCTTTGTGCGTGTACTCTCTCTATGTGTATATGCTCTGTCTATGTTTTGTTTGTATGCTCTCTCTTTGTGCGTGTACTCTGTCTAAGTGTGCGTGCTCTTTATATGTGCGTACTCAGTCTATGTGTGCGTGCTCTGTCTATGTGTGCTTGCTCTGTCTATGTGTGCTTGCTCTGTCTATGCGCGTGTACCCTGTCTATGTGCGTGTGCTCTGTCTATGTGTACGTGCTCTCTCTATATGTGCGTGCTCAGTCTATGTGTGCGTGCTCTATCTATTTGTGTGCGCTCTCTCTATGTGTGTGTACTCTGTGTCTATGTGTGGGTACTCTGTGTCTATGTGTGTGTGCTCTGCCTTTGTGTGTGTGCTCTGTCTATGTGTGTGTGTTCTGTCTATGTTTGTGTGCTCTGTCTATGTGTCTGCTCTCTCTCTATGTGTACATAAACATAAAATACATACCTTCCTTCGAGCATGTGCTTCACAGGAGCTAATGTTTTAGATACCAGAGTAGATAACTATTTATTTGCATCCAAATTCGATCGAAAATCTTTCTGCGAGCCGTCTTTCTTTCTCAAAGTGTCCTTTTCTGACTCATTGAGCTTCTTTCGTACCAAACAAGTACCATAGAGCGCATGACTGATTGAACCTATGCATCTTTCTACAGGGTTGATTCTCGAGTCACCTCCAGCGTTACAAAAGTGTGCTAAATAATCATAGTCGCCCTTGAAAAACGAAGCCAGATCTGCATACATTGCCCGAGCATGCAGTGGATTTTCATCTACGCCACCATCGGACACTTTGATCAGGTGATACTTGTCACTGTAGTGCTGTGTGATGTTCTCAAGGAACTCAGCTGTGTGTCGGACGGCTGTTGACCTCTCATAGATTGCGTCTTTCAATGTCACCTTAACACACTCTAAATAATATTGTGTATCTTCCATTCTGGTAGGAATTCTTTGAACCATGGCGACAAACGGAGTTAGATGAAACGGAAGAAATCGTGGTCTGCACATTGTAAGTCAATAGTCTCCCCGGTATCGTCGTTGACTACGGTTGTCGTTTTGCGTTGACGTGCTAAAGGATTTGCTAGCATTTCAGGTTCTGACACCTTCTGCGTAGCTTTGTCGTCGACGTTAACCTTCAGCATAGTGGTTCTATACCGTATTGTCAATTCCTTGACCAGCTTGAGTTGTTTCCTTGCAAAATGCCGGTCCCTATTTCATTTCCTATACTGCCCTTTGTACGTTATGAACGAGTCCCAATTTGCCGGAGCACTTGCCCGCATTTCGTCCGAACTTTTTACTTGGTACAAATTGACGCGCGAACCATGATTCACTAGGAACGGGTTGCATTAGTTATTAATTTGTATTACTTCCTTCTTCAATTCACCCAGCGTCTGCTTGTGCAAATCACAAACTGATACTGCCACCGACATATAAACAACGGTCTTGCCATACCGTCCATCATCAAGAACATTTTGGCGATCGACAATAGCTCGGCGCCTTCTGAAGAATTCATCAAACTTGCCATCACGACTCTATTTGTTGCATTTAGCATTGTCAAGTGTTTCTTGCAAAATCCAACCCAAATCAATAATATACTCAAGACCACTATAAATTTTGCATCTTTGGGGGTGTGAGATTGATCTCCGTCACTGTGGAATAGAGTGTACGTAAGTGCCCGGCCTTTACATCCTCGACTGCCGTCTACCTTGAGTATCTTAACAAATTCATTTCTCATCCTCCGCGTATAATACTGCGCAAGTTTGGGAATAGTTTTTATAGTCGCGCGCATATGCTCATCTAAATTTATAGCAGCCAAACAATCTATCGTCTTCGCAGCACTAAAATCGCCTACTATATCAGCAATAGTTGTGCATTGTGTCGCCAAACAATTACAGTTGACTGTGTATTGTTGCCATATGATTTGCGTAGCATCTGCATGGGGTATCTAACATGCGATATCTCGTAGCCATTTTCTTTGCTCCCTGAGATCGTCAGGTCAGTAGTCGGCAAGAACTACCGGCTCAAAGAGTTCTGAATTCTGTAGTTGCTTTTCAAGATATCGAAATTGCTTGTGTCTTCGGAACGCTTTTGGTTGCCTGATTGCTAATGTTATTGCCTAAAGAATTGACTGTTTGCGGGAGGCCACGATTATGTTTTGATACTGTCATTATTTGATGTAATCTTGCTTTTATACTTTTATATAATTCGTATAAGTCTTGATGTATAACTTGAAAGCAATCGCGTGTACAAACGACATTTTGCACTAAGAAATGCACTAGCAATAATTCAGCTTTGGGTAGTGTATCGGTGGTGCGTATCGGCAGAACGGTACCCTCTATTTTGCGCTGCTGTTCCCAGTGTAGTCGTTCAGGAAGCGACGGTATATTTGGCTGTTGGTCGAATTACTTCGACTGACCATCTTGTAATAGCCGGGCCTCCATATTAGACACTATGTTATAAACGTACTCTTAAGCAGTACGTAAATTATAAACGTACTCTTAATAGTACGAGAAACTTAAGTTTCCTAAATGGGTTTTAATGGTTTTGTTAATTAATACTTTTTCCATTTTACATATCAGATATTTGGACGAGGCCATTAAAAGGCCTCAGTAAAATACCAAACAT